ATGTTTGCAACAGATGTGGATTTTTATTCCAGGAAAAAAAAATAAAACCAAGATAAGATGAGTTATAGCATGATTGTCTAGAAAATAGTTAGCAAGTTATTATAAATATGTACGCATCGTAAATCAATATTCTATTAATCAAAATGTATACAATATTAAAACTGTTTTCAGAATATAATGTAACACACCTTTTATAATTAAGTATAGAAATCGAGCACATTCCAGAAGTCTATCATTTAGCACATGCGCGGATGAGCCGACAGTACGGATCGTGCTRCCGGGAYGGATCGGGCAGCCGCAGTTCTGTTTTCAGACAGTTTGGAAAAAAAAAACATGGAATCAATAAAATGAGCATCGACTTGTTTCTGATTCTGGATCCAGTTCTTTGAAGACGGAACATTTAACAGTTTTTAAGACAGATGACATGAATGATGTAATGATCTACAATGACAAACAACGGTGCTGAGTCTGTAGTTTGTTCATTAAGTAATGGTTGATTGGCAGAGCTCACACACTTGGTTGAATCGTTAAAGTTTCGTCTCAGTTTGAGCCTTTTTGCAAACAAAGTGTGTCACTTTGACCATCAGTGCCACTGATTGGTCCTGAGTGTTCACTGGTTTGAAAAAGTGATGTTTGAGTCGATTGCTGCATGAAAACAACCAAGAAATAATCTTTCCAGTAGTCCATGAAATATGTTGCTAACAGACTTACACAGACAGAAAACTTTATTGCCTGACCAATTTAGCCTTTTTGTTGTTTGGTGATAAAAACTATAATCTGACTTCCTGTGACATGTTGCTGTTAACTTGTTGTCTGAAAGCTTTAATCCTYTAAAATGGGTCATGTTTTTAATTCTAAAATAACAACATTATTTTACATTATTGTTCAAACGGGACCCAGATGAACATTGTGTTTGGGACTACTTTGAGCCGGATCACAGCCGTCTGTTTGACCTCTGCACATCAGTCTGTGCAGCGTTACGCATGGCTGCACGTGTCATTCTGTTACTTTACTTTAAAGTTGAGCCTCTTTTTCATGTTTCTGAATACACGGTGGATTTATCTGCACAACCCTCCTCGTGTCTCTTCAGAGATGGTTGTCGACGGGATCTAGTTGTGTAATTTTTCATCTAATAATCCTTTCAGTGACCCGGCACCGCCTCGTCCTGTTCTCCCCGAGGACATGGATCGACTCTCCACAGCCAGTTGGGTCAATCAGAGCAGGGAGGATGTCGAGTTCAGCTCTTTATTATTTAACTACGACGCAACATGTGGTTTTGTATTGAGCGTGTAGCTCAGGACTATTCAACAAGCGGCCTGTGAGCCTGATAGGGTTCTTTTTAAAACGACTGTGGACCCCACAGAGCTGCCGAACTGCTTTGTCTGAATATGAAGAAACAAACCACCAAGTGTTTGAGACTGACCCGTCCTTCTGACCTGAGCCACAACCGCTAAAGTCACGTTAGCTAAGCTAGCTAAGACCAGGATGTTTATTTCAAAACCAAATAGATGGAAAGTATGTTTCAAATGTTCAAATAGTATTTTTGTTCATATTACAACAGGAACCAGTTTTTAATGTTTAGAAATGAGAGTTGTAGCCATTTTAGTTGAACCCTGATAATAAAAGTGTAATGTCATGCTATATTTGACCCATCATTAAACCAAATCTGGTCAAAATGACCTGAGCATATTTTCAGATTTCTGCTGTTTTAGCTACATTTTGACACCTCAATCATCCTATCATGAGCTATTCAGAGATATGACTCCATTTGTCTTGTTAATCAGGTGAACTCATTAATATTTGGTTGGAATCCTATTTTAAAKGTGTTTTTAATCTGAAATTATAAAGGGGAAAACCTTGAACAATATTTGGACATTAAGATTTTCCAGTTGAAATGGAAAAAAATTATATTGCAGGAAAATAAAAATAAAAAACCTGCTCAAAATCTTTTTTTTTGTCGCTACTGCTCAAAAAAAGGCTTCAGAAAGTCTTTTAGATATTTCATATTTCATTCAAACAACCCATAGATAAGATGTTTATTCATTAGATTTCAACAAAATGCAATTGTCACGAGTATTTTAACCCAGAGGCCCTCAAACTGGGGTCCCAGGGGTCCGGGTGCTGTAAATTTAGGGGTCCTCAAAAAATAATAATAAACTGTTAATTTTGTTTTTCAATTAAAAACATCATAAATGCATTAGGGGAGTGATGCAACCAGTAAAATAAACTTACTCAAGCAAATAAACTATAATTATTCTCATGGCATTTAGAGGTTAATATGGCAGTAAATAATTTTTTAAATCGGCATGTTTTATGAGGGGGTCCCTGGAATATTTATATTTAACGGGTCCTCAGATGCACCAATGCCTGTTTCTCCTCATAACACTTTTCCTCGGCTCACATATTGCATGATGTCCCTCAGAGTAAAAGTTGTAAATGACTCTCAGCTACCACCATTAACTTTTAGCCCAATATCTGTAAAGCCATTTTTTAAAACCTCTATGTCAGTCATCTTGAATGTGTTTATTCTTAAAGCTAATCAGAGTAGATGTACTCATTTATTATTTTATGTAAAAATAAGTTTGGTGGGAGGTGAGAATTATGACCTGTGGTTCTCAAGCCCCCCTGTAATTTTAGATCTGGCCCATTTMTCAGTGTTTTTGCTTTAGTTCAGTCTCTTCTCTTCCATAAAGCCAGCGTCCTCTCTGATCCGTCCCTCTGAATGTCCTCCTGCGTGTCCTCCATCTGTGGACGCGTCGTCCCCTCTAAGCCCCCCCCTCATGTTCTCATGTTTGCAGAACCACGAGCAGCTCGGGGACCCCGACTCTGACCTGATCCACAACGACGCCGACCTGACCTTCATGTTCGGCGACGCAGCCATCACGGCCAACGGGGCGGATGGCKCCGGGGGCCCGGGCTGGAGCGCCAACGGGAAACGGAGCGGCAGTGCGTCGGAGGAGGCGCTGGAGCGTGAGCTGGACTCCCGGGAGCAGGAGCTGCTGAGCCGAGGCACGCGCCTGGTTTTCCCTGTCGAGGACCACATCTGACAACCCCACCCCCAACCCACCACCACCACCCCTGGTCTTGTCCCCTTTGCCTGAGTCCATCGCCCTTCCTGACCTTAAACGACCCCCCCACCCGACGAACAAGTGGCTGTTCGTCAGAGATGAAGCAGATTGGAGAAATGAAAGTGGACAGGAAGGAAGGTCTGACAGCGACTCTGTCAGGCAGAGCTCCAGGAGAGTTTGAGTTTATTCTGAAGAAACACCCGTCTCCACTGGTGACAGGAGAGGAAAATGTTGACGTGACTGTTTCCACAGCACAAAGGAGAGGACCAATGCGGGAGTAAAACACCTGTGCAGGATTTTATCTGCATTGGTGGAAAATACAGCGTCGTCATAAAGACGTTGTGGTTGAGATGAAATGAAACCTCAGTCTCACATCACGTGACGGGACCAGTTTGTTCGCAGGAAACTGCTTTCTGATCAGCACTGTCAAAATGTGGCTTAAAAAAACTTGATTAAATGTGCGTCAATYGTCTGCTAAAAGATTTCTTTTTGTCTGTTTTGTAAAGAATCTGCTGAGGACACGCTGGAGGATTTGAAGACAGGAGAATCCAGCTGTCTGCGTGTAAATATCTGCTGCTGCTATGTTTACCAGCTGGCCTTGATCGTTATCTGTGTCCGATGGTTTGTTTTTGATGACACAAAAAAGGATGTCAAGTTTCTAAATTTAGATTAACTTCATTAAAAAAATACTGACATGGGCTCTTATTGTTTAAAGTGAAGAGAACAGGCCTTTGTAGCATTTCTTCCTCTATCTCAGTTTTATCAAAGCTTACTGGGACATTTTAGAAGAGGAAGTAAAACATCATATA